TCCAAGATGTTTGGAACAACCTACCTGCTGAGTTCCTTCAGAAACTGTGCAAGTGTACCTAGAAGAATTGATGCTGTTTTAAAGGCAAGGAGTGGTCACACCAAATATAGATTTGATTTGGGTTTTTCTTCTGTTAGCCTAAAAAAGGAAGATTAACTTCCAAAGTATATGTCTCTAGGAAGGGCAAACTGCATAATGCATAATGTTGCTTAAGCACTGACCCTGCCTGCCCACAATCCATCATCTTGTGAAAATCCATAGTACTTCAGTTTCTGCTGGCATGATCTCCAATATGTTTCAAAATTATCAAAGTGAAAGAGCCTAAACCCATAGGAAAAAGCAGTAGCTTAGTCAGTAAGAAAACATAACCATATACTAGTCTTTACTTTGATCACTCCAGTCTCCTGGTGAGAACCATACTGAACACATACTCTCCCACTTTGAATATATTCCTTAAAAAGATTGACTCTACGTTCTTTGAGGAATCAAAGTTTCTGTACAGTCCCAGTTGGACTCCAAGTAAAAGCTGGCATGAGCTTTAGCTGAAAATACCATTAGCTAGTATAAGTAATGCATCTCTGGAATGGTAGAAGGATTGGATAACTTGCTGATTTTTTTGGATTTTGGATGATAAATTTAGATGAACATTATGTATAAATATATAAAGGTTTTAATGTGCTGCATAAGAAGTCCATTTAGCTGCCAGGTATGGACTCTTGGACTTTGTTTTGAATAGATTTATGTAAGAATGTTGTTTTATTCAACAGGGGCCAAGTTCCAGCTGAGGCAGAACTGAATTACTTAGGAGTAGCAAAGACGCTTGAAATGTATGGAGTGGATCTTTATCCTGTCTATGTAAGTAATATTTTTAAAGTTAAGTTACAGTTAAGTGCAACTTCATTGACAGTTTGTTTTTTATTTAATTATTTATTAGGTTTTCAGAAACTTGGAGGGGGTGTACTCCTCTTTTTTTCCCCCACACAACTCTGTTGGGTAGATTGGGCTGAGAGAGAGAATGACCAGCTCAAGGTCATCCAGTGAGGTTCAGTGGCTAAGGACAGATAGGAACCTCAGTCTCAGTACCTTAACTGCTATGCCACATTGGCTTTCAGTTGCCTCATATATTAATATGTTGTGAATGATGGGGTTCAAATGTGCCTTAGAATATAAATATTGCCTTTGCTACTGAAATTAATGAACCTGCAGATACAGGTAGTCTTCAGTTAATGACCAATCATTCAGCAACCATTCGAAGTTGCAACGGCACTGAACAAGTAGTACTTAAAACCAGTCCTCAAAGATCCGGTTGTCGCAGCACCCCTGCAGTCACATGATCGCGATTTGGGCACTTGGCAGTCGGCTCACACTTAAAATGGTTGCAGCATCCTGTGGTCATGTGATCACTATTTGCGACCTTCCTTGCTGGCTTCCCACAAGCAAAGTCAATGGGGAAGCTGGCAGAGAAGGTTGCAAATTACTCCAGTAAGTTGGTCCTGCTGCCTTTTCTCCTGAAGAGCCCACTATGGAGTACGAGATCCTAGGGATTTCTTCTCCGTAGTGTGGACCCCCCCCGCAGCACCCCCCACCCGCACTCCATAGCACATACATGCCTGTACTTGCATGCACCACAGCACCTCCTCCCCCGCCCAACTGCACTTCTGCAGTACTGCAGAACCCTCCGTGTCTGGCCGCACCCAATAGCACTTATCCACCCACCTGACAGCCTGCTTGCAAGCCACCCGAGACTTGCGACTTCCTACTGGCTTCCCCATTGACTTTGCTTGTTGGAAGCTGGCAGGAAGTCACAGGTCAGAGTCATGTGGGATCTTCAGTTAATGACCCGTGATCCTCACTTAACGACCACAATGTGGACTGCCAGATTGCCTTCCCTAAGTGATGCAATCACATGATGTCGCACTTTACGACAGAAAGTGCATTCCTTAGCGACAGAAATTCCAGTCTCAATTACTGTCTTTAAGTGAGGACTACCTGTATAAGTGTTCACTGCGTCCTTTGCTATATGCAAGTTACTTTGCCTGAATGAGATAGCATGGTATAATATAGAGCTTTGCAAGTTTGGGGGAGATTTCAGGATGCATTTATCTTTTCACTGGCATGCAATAGGACATTCTCCAAAACCAAACTTTGATTCAGCTTAATTTAAATTACATTAATCCAGTTGAATATAATTATTCTCCATAAATTTAGTCACTCTTCTTTCTATTGTATTAAAAATAGCAATTCATCAACTGTCTGCGTACCATGCTTTGGGGAATGGGGTTGCAGGTTGTGGGGATAATATGGCAAAAAAAATAAAAATAACATTTCCTTCAAGCTTTCTTTCCTTTGAGTAGGACATAATTCTTGGAGTGATAAAACTCTCTCTCTGCTGACCCCAGTGGAATACCAGACATATGTCAGACTGGTCTGACATAGGCGGCTATATAAATTGAATGAATGAATGAATGAATGAATGAATGAATAAATAAATAAATAAATAAGCAGCTATGCAGATTAAGCAGGTTAGACTTGATCAAGTTACAGGTTTATCCACACCTGAAAATATATAATTAGCCTATAAAGCTGTACGTCATGTTAATTCCTGATTACACTAGAAAAGGCAGTCTGACAGCTTACTACACTGTAGAAACTATATAGAAAAGGAAATATCACATAAAGTAGATTTTCCTAATGGTTCATTGAAGAGAAAAAAGGCTATGTGATTGGAATGGGATGGGTGTTCTAGAAAGAAGTCTTAGACAGCTACCGATGACTAGAAGATTAGATGCTGAAGAGCAGAAATTGGCTGAATTTTGTAATTTCTTCTTTTTCTGAACTAAGAATCACTTTATACTCATGCAACAAATTGTGTGTATGGGTATGTGCAAAAATGTGTATTCACTTGTAGATTTTCTGGATTTTCGCATATCTTTGTCCCTGAAAGTTACTTGAACTTCACGTAGGTCTTTAGTGAACCCTTCCCAAGCTCTTAACCTGGTCTCCAGATTGGTGGTGGAGTCTCCTCGCATTTTGCTGTTGGGTGACTGCAACCATCGTGCTCTTGGGACCAATTCAAGTAGAACTCAGAAGTTCATAGCCTCTATGGTGACTAAAGAATTTCAGGTCCAAAACACATAGACAGGCAAAAGTTAGACCTTGATTTTGTCTCAGAGAATATGTGTAGGTCTGGATATGACAGGCATTTCCACCAGCTCTTTGCCATGGTCATATCATGTCCTGGTCCAGAAGAGGCAAGCTGCCATTTGAGAACCCTGTGGGAAGAACAGATTAATTAAGATGTTCCATTTCAGGTGCCTCATGGATCTTGAAGGTTTCTGGCAAGTACTTGAGAGAGTTCCAAGTGATCTTGTGGGCAGTTGGGCTCAGTACCTGGTCTGTAATTGGTAACAGGTAGTAACCAATGAATTTAGCACAACTGCCGGAGTGGCCTTTCTCTATTGGCCAATCCCAGAGTGCTCTTGCTGGAGATGAAGAAGAGGAGAAACTTGGTATAGCTACTGCATTAAAGTAAAATGGACAAGACAACATTGATCTCAATTAAAAAAAAAAGGGACTAAACATACCTTATAAATGAAAGCAAATTTTTAATAAACTCAGAACATTTAAAGCCAGTATTGTTGGTCTTCAAGAATCACATATAAAATAAAACCATGCCAATTTGTTGAAACAAAGAAAATTAGGCTAGGAATATACAGCATTGGGAAGGATGAAAATGTAATAGTAATTTATCTTAAATCACCTTCCTGGGAAGTACTAGAACAATGAAAAAATAAAGAAGTAAGAATTTTAATACTGAAATTAAAAAAAAGGTAAGATTTTCACACTGGCTTCCATTTATGCTCCAAACACACATAAGGAATAATTCTATTAAAGAATCTTCTAGAAGTTAATAGGAATTGCAGAGGAGGAAACTATTATAGTAGGAGATATGGATGGACTGTTAGATCTAAGCTGAGTGTAAGATCCCAGCTTAGACAAATCATCCCAAAGGAAAAAAGGAGGACAGCTCCTAAGAATTTTTTTTCCTGTACATGGATATATTGACTTTGACTGATGCTTGGAGATTAAACAATCCAAAAGCAAGAGATTACTTTTTTTTCAGCAAGACACCAAATTTAATACTTAAGAATTAATATGTGTCGGATCTCTAAGGCTCTTACACTATCTATCAAAGAAATGCAGATTTGCTCGATTACATACACAGTTCACGTTCCAATTCTAATATCTTGGTTTCAGAGAGAAAAATTGCCTTTCAGATGGAGATTGATATGTTGTTACTTCAAGAAAGCATACTGGAGAAATGCAGAGAAGAATTAAAATGTTTGTTTAAAATAAATATGACTCCAGGGATGTCAGAGAAAACTGTATGATAAAGTAAAGCTTATATGAAATGCATCTTAATAAGGCTTGCAGCAAATAATAATAATAATAATAATAATAATAATAATAATAATAATAATAATAATAGATGGAAATTACAATTAGAAGAGAAAATAAA